TGCCTTGCCTTGCCTTGCCTTGCCTTGCCTTGCCTTGCCTTGCCTGCTTGCTTTCCCCGGCGGTGGCTGCGGAGTCAAGGCCGGACACGTCTGCAAGCGATCAAGGGTCTGGCCCAGCTCGGCTTCCCCGTCGTCTTCGTCTTCGTCGCCGCCTCCTCCTTCTCCTTCGTTGGCCTGCTTCACTCCCTCCTTCACCGCTGTGTCTCTCTCAGGCAGAGTCTCGTAAACTGCTAATGATTTATTACCTAGGCTAAGTGCTTAATTTGTGAATATGAAACAGATTAAAAGGAGATCGGCATATTTTAGCAGGCAGACCACGGCAAGGCCAGCAGCTGTTTCGAATTTGGAGGTATTTCCAGCCTCCTGGAGAACGCGAGCCAAAGCCATCGGGAATTATTGGGGGGCGGCGGTATGGAGGAGAAAAGGAGGCCGCTCCTTCCCAGGACGCGGTCGTGCGAAAGGCCATTCATTCCCTTGGCTTCCCCACAACCTCCTCCTCTTCCTTTTTCGGAGAGGCCGAGGTCCTTCCCTTGGCTTCAGGAGGATTCGCCTCTTTGCCTGGAAGGAAGTCTCGCTGGAGTCACTGGGCAGGGTTGCCAGATGTCCTCCCCGCAAAGGAGGACCAAATGTAGGGCATGCAAGAAAAAGTGGAGCACGTTAGAAAAGAAAAGCTTCAAAACACTGAAATACATGTAAATCCATACTTCTAAGCCATGCTCAAAATGGAGGACATTTTGAAATTCCTCCTGGACAGAAGGCTGAAATGTAGGGCGTGTCCTGGAAAAGGAAGACGTCTGGTCGCCTTTTAAAAAGGGGTGTGAAATATGGTCGTTTGTTGACTAGCAAGATAGCCCTCTCACAATAATAGGTCAGCCTTAGGCAGGATCGTGAACGCATCCCTTTTGTAGTTTTCCTTCGGAGCTGCATCCAAATACAAGAAATACATACTATGAGAAGAGTCCTGCAGGATCAGGCCAGTGTTTTCTCTGGTATAGGCTTCTGTCCCCATAGATGTCCACAAGAAGCCCACAAACAGGAGGCACTCACTCCTGCTCTTCAGCAACCTCTATGGAAAAGCCTACTGGAGATAATATAATGTATGTCTATCAAACATCCTCCATAAATTATGTTTTAAACCAGGGGTTAGGATCACATCAAGTGTGACAAGGAACCACAGGTCCGACTAACCTTGTAAAATATTTTCCCCCAGTCTTTCAGTGCCTGAAGGGGTTGGAACCATATGCACAGAAGTAGCCAGCCTGGATTAATCAACAAAGTAGGCAGGATGTGGTTGTTGTTGTTGTTGTGTGACCTCAAGTCGACTCAGACTCAAACCGGGTTTTCTTGGCAAGATTTATTCAGGAGAGATTTGACATTGTCTTCCTTCTGGGTGAGAGTGTCACTTGCCCAAAGTGGGTTTTCATGGTTGAACAGGATTTGAAACCTGGGTCTCCTGGAGTTCTTAATCCAGCCCTCAAACCACTACCCCGGCTCTATGTAATTTGTAGGTGGCGACTTTAAAATGTGGCTTTGTAAATGGCTTTGTGGATGAGAAGCTACTGGAATAGCAAAAGTGAAGGGTAATAAGTGATTTCAGGCCACGATCTGCGAGGTACTTCCAACGAGGTGGACAGAGCTAAAGAGTGAGTAACCACTATGCAAAGGGATCTTGTAGCACTTTTGAGACTGAAAGGATCAGTATGTAGACAGATCTTGTAGCACTTTTGAGACGAACTGAAAGAAAGAAGTCGACAGTAGACTTCAGTCTCCTTCCTCAGAGGCATTTGTTGGCATCTGAGGCAGGAGACTTAAGACTTTTGGTGGCATCTGAGGAAATAAACCTAAGCCTAGGAAAGATCATGCTGTCGATTTCTTTCTCTTTAGTTTCAAAGGTGCTACAAGATCTCTCTACAATGCATACTGATTCTACAGACTAACACGACTATATCTTTGAAAGAAAGAAGTTGATAGCATAGACTTCAGCCTACTTCCTCAGATGCTGATAAATGCATCTGATGCATTTATCTGATGCATTTATCATAATCGTCATCAAATATAAATATGCATCTGAGGAAGTAGGCTAAACTCTATGTAAATCTCATGCTACCACCTTCTTTCTTTCAAAGATATGGCCCTGTTAGTCAGTACAATCAGTATGTATTGTAGAGAGGCCTTTGAGACTAACTGAAAGAAAGAAACATGCAGGGGTAGCTGTGCTAGCCATTTAGCAAATTCAAACAAAAATCCACCAAATAATGATACCTTTTATTGGCCATACAAAATGCACAATATGCTTGTTGCAAGCTTTCAAAGCTCCACGGGTTTCTTCATCATGGAAGATGTTACAAACCAAACAGGAGAAAAAAATGGAGATGTTAGTCAGATGCCTGAATTTTGATGCTTCCATCCTTAGTTGAGATGGTAAGTGGAGGGTATCTTTTGCAGGCTGGCCCCTCATCCTTCTCTCCTTGCGGCCACTGGGAGATTTGCAAAGTACCTTTGAGAGGGACTGAAAGAAAGAAATTGGCAGCATGAGCTTTCGTCTAAGGGCCTTTGCAGACTGCTAGAAATAGTGCAAATTGAGTCCACTTTAAGGGTTAGGGTTAGGGAATCATGGGAACTGTATTTTATTGTGGCACCAGAGCTCTCTGACAGAGAAGGCTCAATGTCTCAGAAAAAAAACAACAATTCCCATGATTCCCTAGCACTAACCCTAACCTTTAAAGTGGACTCAATTTGCACTATTTCTGGCAGTCTGCAAAGGCCCTTTAAGTCTAGGGAAGCTCATGCTCCCTGCTTCTTTCTTTCAGTCCCTCTCCTATAAGGAGGTCCTATAAGGAGATCCCTTGGCACTCGGATTTTCCAGACGAACGCGGCTGTAACGTCGATGACTAACCACTAGGTAACGTACTCGTCCAAGAGTCTGCGAGGCGCTTATAGGGGATCAAATACGGTAGCCACGGCTGCATAGCATAGCCCAGCTCCCCATCCTCCTCCCCCAGCCTGGGACCTAAACAGTTAAGGGACCCTCTCCTCCGCCTCCCTTTCCCGGATTAACTCCAAAGCAAGCCGGGGGTGGGGGTGGGGGGGGGACACACCGCGGAGTGGGGGTCCCAGCCAAAGGCACGTGATCCCCTGAGCAGCGACGTCAACATCCAGGGGAGAACAAAGACAAATCGTGGCAAGTCGAAAACTTCAGCAGCCAGGAGGCGAGGAAAGTTCTGGCCAAAAATAGCCAGGAGGAAGGAGAGCATCCAAATAAATAATACCTTTGATGTCGCCGGAGCCAGGCGGGGCGCCAGGTCCTCTGCCTCTGTGTGTGTGTGTGTGTGTGTGTGTTGTGTTGTTGTGTAGAGTGGAGTTCCCTCCCCAAACCAGGAAGCTGCACAATCCAAAGCCTTCCTTTGAAAGGAGGCCAGCTACTAGAGAGGAGCGCCCGGCTTTGGTCGCTGCTTCCCGGCGGCCGCGGACTTCAATGCAAGGCGATCGGGGGGGGGGGG